ATAGTGTTGTTGAAAATTTCTAAGGTAGTAGTTGACAATGTTGAAAATGTTGTTAAATAAGTAATAAAGCAGCGAATTATGTTTGTTTTCATGCATGATATAGGGAGGTACATATCACAAATCAGTTAAAATTTTGAACTAAGGAAATGAGGAAAGATGATGGAATTAGAATCCATGAAGGGCTTTTGTACACTAAATGTACTTACATTGATTTGTATGAATTTAGCTCCATGATGTCTAGATCAATGAAGAAAAGTGATGAGCCAGTGTTGTTTAAAATGATATTTCATGTTCATTTAAAAAATGGAGTTTTAACAAAACACTTCTGGTACTATTCACTTTTAACGAAAAACCACATTTTTACCTTTAACTGACACTATTCACTATACCTTTAAAAAATGATTTTCATTAAAAGAGAATTTTTTTTGAACTTTTCGTTAGTTTTCCTTTCAAAAAATGATTGATAAAGAAAAACATGAAAGAAAAAAATCAATGTACATTGTAAATACTTTAATATAAGTTTAATAAAATGACGTTAATCAAAGCTATATAAATAAATATGCCTAACACAAATATATAAAGATTTAACATTACATAAAGGGCCCCTACATAAAAAGTGGTATTGGAGAAAAATTTAGTCCAGAACTAGTAAAAAATGTGATAGCTGAATCCTACACTGCCTCAGTTAAAGGGATAAATGAATATTATAATTTTAAGTAGTGTGATGCTTTCATAAAACATTTTAACTCTGTGTAAATACATAGAGATTTAAATGCTTGCAGAAAGAGGTTAACCCTAAACCGTATAATTTTAGATATCATAATTTGCAAAGAATATACAAAGAGAATTAATTTTTTTTATCAAACTAAATACCTTGGTCATGCCGTGAACAATCAATAACAACATCAGATCAACGAAATCATTCAAATAAAAAAATACCCAATAACCCAAATTAAATTTTAATCAAACAAATGAAAACATGCGCTCTGATGTAAACAGGAACTAAATCAAATGACACAACCCAAAAAACACTTCTCAGCCACCAAAACCCAACGAGCAAGACAAACAAACCAAATACAAAGCAATAGGAGTGTATTTTCGCCCGTTTACTGTTAGTGAATTAATCAGATTTTTAAATTTAGTTCATTATTTAATAAACTAATAATTAATAAAAACTAGTTAATTAAATGATGATTGTGATACACGATGAGTCTTTCTCCTTCATATCCTTGGATTTTGCAAATTTTTCAAATGATGTAGTTGTCTACATCCGATATAGAAATATAGTATAAAAGCATGCTATGAATATCATTACTTGGCCTTAAATATTTGGACTTGATGATGATGGACAGGTGGACATAAGAGCTAGTGAGAGAGAGTTAATGAGAAAAATAATAGGAAACCTAATTAAAAGGGTTTGAAAACTTTGAGTTTTGATGATAAGGACAAAATAAAAGGTAAAGTGAATAGTATCATAATTGACATTTTAGTGTAAAAATGTGATTTTTCGTTAAAATAAACAGTACCGGAAGTTTTTCGTTAAAATTTCCAAAAATAATTATATATAACAACAAAACAATTACTAGTTGTTTTACCCCATGGATAAACAAATTGGTTTTTGGACGAAGAAATGATAAACAAATAGGCTGCAGGACCAAAAGAAATGATTAAAGTTGTCAAGAGTTAAACCCGGCCACATCGTTTGTGGCACCGAAAAAGATAAAAAAATGACAAAGAAATTGGTTGTAGGGAAGAAATGATTAAAAAATGTGCGTTGGGTTTAAAAACCAAAGAACCACACGTGATGGACAGGTAGGTAGAAAGGGTAAATCCGGTATATTACCATACAAAAATGGAAAAAGTACACTGCCAAGTCTAACATAAGGGGCAATTTAGTCAATTCACTGTTTATGAACAGGCATGCTCTCGCAGAACTATGACCATCCGCAATGGTTGGGTTAAAAGCCAAATATTTTAGGTCGGAAAATTTAGCTTTTAACCCAGAAACAGTTTTTCTGCTCCAACCGTTTTAGTCTAAAATTTTAGCCCGGGATTATTAAAGAATGAATTTAGGTTATTTTTTTTGTTAAATTAATTTTTTTTTAAATAAATAAATATGTAGACTATCGTAAATTAATTTTATGAACATTTTAATCTAAAAAAATTTAAATTCCGATCAATATTGAAAAATTTAAATTCCGATTTCTAGGCTAAATTTCGGGAGGAATCTGGCCTTGGTTTAGCATTTAGCATTTAGCCCAAATTTTCCCCTTGGGTTGGAGTGGGTTTGGGGGGGAATTTTGGGGGATAATTTGGCTTTTAGCCCACCATTAGAGTTGGTCTAACAGTGCTATTCTACTAAGTTTTAGGGCTGGTTTGGTATTGCTGCTGTGTTTTGAAAAAAAAACTGCTTCTACCGTGCTGTGACAATAAGCTCATTTTTGCTGCTTAACGTTTTTAGTTTTTTTTTTTTACCCAAAATTGTGGAAATAAGCTGTTTTTAAGTGTTTATCAAACACATTTTTGAATTCATCTTTTTTTTATACCCACTTTTTATAAAAGCACATCAGTACCAAACCAGTACGTAGTACATATAAATAATGTGCGGGGTTGTATCACGGCTTTACTGCAATTAGTCGTAAAACCGATACTAGACTTTTACATTCTTCAACAATTAGAACTAAATAAAAATAGAATTAGAGAAATACTAAATCGTCAAAAAAGAATTCTTATATAAACCACGCTTAAGTGCCTCTTCAGTAGTTCTTTGGGGTTCCATTTAATTAAAAATTTGTAATCAGTTTTATTTCTGTAGAACAAAAAACAAAAGTCGTTGGTCTCTGACTCCTACTATTCATTCGGGCTCAATTTCTCAAAAAATTCCCATGAAAAGCACAAACATTTCCTTCAAAGACGAGGAAAGAGAACATTCACAGAAAATGGAAGGAAAAGACCTTGCAGCAAGCAACAAAAAACAAAACAGTTTAATTTTCACCAATGGCAGGAATATTTACTGCAGAATATTCCAACCCTTAAGAGTTAATTAGGACATTAAACAAAAACTAACTTTTAGGATAGTTCCTAGAAGTTTAGAGAAATGCTAAAGAGAGACTCTCAAAAGTTTATGATCTTTCTGTCACCTCATGTTTTTGGTACAATATTTTAAACTGTCGGGATGGAATTGAGAGTTGACAGAGAGTATGAAAAGTCTGACTTTGAGATAATTTCTTTAGCATTTATTCTCTCAAAGTAGGAGACTCTGTCATCTCATGATTTTGACATACTGCTTTATAATATTAGTACAAAAATTAATGTTAAACTGTAATATGATGGGAAGTCCATAAAAAATCTCACTTTGGGAGTCTTCTTAGCATTTCTCCAAGTCTCCCAAAGTCAATAAACCGCATCGACCAAAGTTTAACAAAAAGGGATTGTTTAATGACAATAAAAAAAAAAATTAATGAAAAATGTTTGAAAACTTTGAGTTTTAACGATAAGGACAAAATAAAGGTTAAACTGAATAGTACCAGGATTGACTTTTTAGTGTAAAAATGTGGTTTTTTGTTAAAATGAACAGTACCGGGAGCTTTTCGTTAAAGTTCCCTAAAAAAACAAAGTAGTTTCATTTGCACCAATAGCGGGAATATTTCCTGCAAAATATTCCAACCCTTAAAAGTTCATTAGGATATTAAACAAAAACTAATCACTTCTAGGACGGTTCCTAGAAGTTTAGAGAAATGCTAAAGAGACTCTTAAAAGTGAGACTCTCTATAAAAATTTCTATCATCTCATATTTTTAACATAATATTTTATAATATTCATACGAAAATTAACATAAAACTATGATGGGACAAAGAGTCTATAGAAAATCTCATTCAACATTTTTTTGAGTCTCCCAAAGCCGATAAACTGCGTCAACCAAGTCAATAAAAAAGGAAATGTTTAAAGGAAAATTAATAAAAATGACTTGAAAACTTTGAGTTTTAATAATAAGGACAAAATAAAGGGTAAAGTGAATAGTACCAGATTTGATTTTTTAGTGTAAAAATGTGATTTTTCGTTAAAGTGAACAGTACCGTGGGCTTTTCGTTAAAACTCTCAATGTTTAATGACAATAAAAAAACCAAAGCAGTTTAATTTTCACCAATAGCAGGAGTAGTCCCTGCAAAATCCTCCCAACCTAAAAAGTTGATTAGGACATTAAACAAAAATGAATCGCGTTTAGGATAGGTCCTAGAAATTGTGGTTGCTTACAGTGCAAGAATAAAAAAATTAAGCCGCGTAAAACAAAGTCAATAAAAAAAGAATATTTTAACGACGTCACTCATTATTATTGTTTGATAATAATTATCTTCACTTGTAATTGAGAGTCTTAGGTTCGATTATTGTCAAAGACGGATTTGAATCATATTATATGTGATTTTTCGTTAAAGTAAACAGTACCGTGGGCTTTTCGTTAAAACTCTCAATGTTTAATGACAATAAAAAAAAACAAAGCAGTTTAATTTTCACCAATAGCAGGAGTAGTCCCTGCAAAATCCTCCCAACCTAAAAAGTTGATTAGGACATTAAACAAAAATGAATCGCGTTTAGGATAGGTCCTAGAAATTGTGGTTGCTTACAGTGCAAGAATAAAAAATTTAAGCCGCGTAAAACAAAGTCAATAAAAAAAGAATATTTTAACGACGTCACTCATTATTATTGTTTGATAATAATTATCTTCACTTGTAATTGAGAATCTTATATTCGATTATTGTCAAAGACGGATTTGAATCATATTATTATTAACCATTATGAAACTTAATCAACTCTTGCACGATTGCATCCACTTAGTAGAGATAATATCGTTTGTTTAAAAGAAAAATTTTAATGACAATAGTGCCCATTATTATACACCCAAAAATCAGCACAAGCCTAAAGTCTTGGTCAATCTTCAAGGGCATTCTTGTAATTTGAGTCCACCCTGCATTCTCCAGCTTTCCTATAAAAGCAACAGCATCTGCAACCAGAAACATACCAAAAACAACAAATTAAATTCAGAAAAATGGGAAGTGAAAGGCTTGGAGAGATGCTGGATATAGGGGAGGAGACTATCAAGAAAAGCTGCTCTCTTGCCTTGGAGGCACACAAATTCCCAGGTGAACCGTTTCTTGTGGAGAACTCTGCTGCAGGATCATCAGATGTTGTTATCAGCTTTCCTGCAGGAACTTGGTCTGTGGAGAGTTTGTTTTCTGGAGAAAGTGATTTTGGAGAAGCAAAAGTCGATCTCGAACTCTTTCCTTCCTTGAAAAGTGTTGGGAACTATGATCCAGCAAAGCCAGAAGAGATAGACTTTGCAATTGCAACTATCAACCAAGCATTCGTTGACAAAGTTAAACAAATATTGGACAATTCCCAGCTGAAAATCAAGGTACTGTTTAAAATTTGAATACATTTGGCAATTGTTTAAAATTTGAATTGCCATAATGCTATTAGATATTGTTTCTGTGTTACGGAGTAGGCAATTATAGTTACTTGTTTGTTTGGATGTGCTTTTAATGCTACTGGATATTGTTTTGGTGAAAATATTTTTAAAACTTATCTTTAGTAAAAATGCAACTGAATCCTGAAAAAATATTTATTGCTTTATGTAAGAAGCACGTAACTTTGCAGAAAGCACTTTAAGTGTTTTTGAAATCTAAAACTATTTTATCTAAAAACACTTTCAGTCATTTTAAAATTACATCCAAACAATCTCTGTGCGACTAATGACAAAGTTAAATTAACAGACCGGATTTAGGTTGAGCATATTACAGCAAAATTTGAGGCATATAAATACGATGTGCTGTAGGCCAATTCAATTGTAATTCGTGTTGTCATTCACTCTTAAATCTTAATTTTCTCAGGTGCAAGAGGCCATCACTGCAAAGAAGAGAATAATATTTACCGGCCACTCTACCGGCGGTGCAATTGCTGCGTTTGTCACAATCTGGTTCTTAGAAAATTGCTCGAAAGAAATCAGTGGATCTTTCTTCTGTGTGACTTTCGGATCTCCCCTTATTGGTGACCACATTATTTCTCATGCTCTTAGGAGAGAAAATTGGTCTGAATACTTCATACATTTTGTCATGAGATATGACATTGTCCCTCGGATTTTGCTTGCTCCTCTGTCATCCATTCGACAAGAATTCGAGAAAATCCTCCCCTTCTTCGATCCAAGTTCCTCTGAGTACATGAGTCAACCAATTGGATCATCCGAGGTGGCCTTGGATCTGTTTACAAAGGTGATGCGCAGTGCATCATCTGTTGCAAGCAGTGCCGCCTCTAAACTGATGGGGAGTCCAAATCTACTACTCGAAACTGTAACGAAGTTCATTAACCTAAGCCCTTACAAACCTTTTGGCACTTACATTTTCTGTACCGGGAATGGGAAACTGGTTGTCTTGAAAAACCCTGAAGCTGTGTTGCAACTCTTGTTCTTTACTTGTCAATTAAACAACGATACTGAAAGGGCAACAATCGCCAGTAAATGCTTGAACCAGCACTTGGGATACTACGATGAACTTGAAGGTAGCTTGGACATGCAGAGTGTGACTTGTGACGATAACTTAGAAATGCTCAACTTAGCGTCAGATGGTATCTTTGATGACCTTGGCCTGGTAAGTACTTTTTTTCCTTTACAAATGTACTTAAAAATAAAAACGAAATGGTTATCACACGAGCCCTATTATTGTATCTGGGGTCTGTAACGTGTTCTGATATTTTTCTTGTAATATTGCAGAGTGCAAGAGCTAGACAATGTGTTCGCGCAGCAGGTGTATTCCAGAAGCAAAAACAAGAAAACAAGGTCAAATTTGATTTAAAAAAGGGAAAAATGGAGGAAGAAATGAAAAACCTAAGAGCCTACCAAGGCTCGAACGAGGACAATGGGGGATACTATGATGCGTTCAAGCTTCAAGAGGTGAAGAGAGATTTCGAAGCGAATGTGAGTAGGCTTGAACTTGCAGCCATATGGGATGAGATTATTGAAATGCTGAAAAAATATGATCTTCCTGATGAATTTGAGGCTATATCAGACTGGGTAAAGCTTGGAACTGAATTTCGCCACCTTGTCGAGCCTCTTGACATTGCTAACTTCTACAGGCACGGAAAGGGAAAAGAGACTGGAGTCTATATGAAGAGAGGCAGGCCAAAGCGTTACAAATACACACAAAGATGGCTCGAGCACGAAAAAAAACTGCCAGTAGGTTCCCGGGGGGAATCTTGCTTTTGGGCAGAGTTGGAGGAGTTGCACGCACTTTCTGACAACCTCCAGGCAGTGAACAAGGAGAAAAAGAGAGTCTTGGACCTTCAGGAACAAGTAGGGAAATGGATTGTGGATGGGGTTCTCAGCAAGGATGTCTTGAAGTCGTCCACCCTCCAGGCGTGGTGGAGCAAACTCCCCGTTGGCCTCAAAACTGAAACTATTTCAGGACTTATGAATGGTGCAGGAAATATGCAAGTGGGGTAGTACTAATTAGTAATTGAGTGATAATAAGGGGGCAGAGCTAGGGTTAGCACCATAGCCACTGGTCAGACTGCCTGCCTCCGGCTCGGCACCCAAGTTTGAATCCCCTCTCCGCGGTTTTACTGTTTGTTGTGTGTGTTTTGTTGTGTCTGTGTTTTGTTTTGGTATGGTTTTGGTTTCAAGTGCCGTTTTCGTTTGTAAAGGTTTTGGTTCCAGATATGCAATGAGTGCTCAGCAAAAATAACATCTATACTTTTCTTAAGGGAACCAGGATGGTCGCAAAATCACTCGTGTTGAAGTTGTGTGGCTCGATACATGCCATGAACATATATGGGCATAAAAACAAAAACAATGCCTTCTCTCTAGCCCTATTTCGCAGTAAATTTCCAAATCAACCGAGCAAACACAATTTCCTGCAAAGTAAGAAAGAAGAAACTTTCAACGAAGTGGAAGGCCCGTCAACCAAGTCTTTAAATATTAAGAAAACATTTTCAGCCAAGTCTTTAAATATTAAGAAAACATTTTCTTCTAGTCTTCTTTAAATATTAACAAAACATTTTCTTCTAATCTTCTTTAAATATTAAGAAAACATCTTTTGGAATACATCCTAGAAGGTTTGGTTGACTTATAGGCAGGGCGGATGCATATATGGACCTGGGTGGTCTCGGGACCACCCCGAAGTTTGAAGAAGCGCCTGTGAAGACCTCTAAGGATCACCCAACGGTTTGGACAGGTGGTGGAGGAGAGAAGATTTAAACCAAGAAGAAAGATCTAATTTAGACGAAGATGAGCACAAAGAAGACCACCATAGCTATGCTGTTCTTGGACCTTAGTTCCATAGAAGACGAAAGACTCCCTCTCCATTTCCCTAGTGATCAACACCCCCCTTTTTTTAAATTGTTATCCAATTTAGTTATGCCGCCTAACATTTTAATTAATAAAAAGATGGTGTAGTACTCAACGAATACTTTTTATCAAATTTATTCGACTTCTAAAGAATATTTTGCAAAGTATTACAAACTCTTAGTCACTTGAACTTTCATCTTATACCACCAAATTTACTAAATACTAAAGCAAAAATTCAGATATTTTATTTTAGGGTGTTATATGTTAAATAATAAATTTAAATTCTCAAAAATATAGTTTTTTTAGTGTAAGTGTGTATGATCTCTACGCGCATAGGATTGCTCACCAAACAACGTTATGCATTTGCCCTGGCACCAATCTGCCTCTTAGATAGATTTGATTACTCCAATCAACAGCCTGTCGCCGGCAGTCTGCCTCACCCTCTGTATCAGCTGCGGGCGTGTTACCTTGTTCGCCTGCAAAATCAATCGAAAAGTTCGAAACAAAGTGATAATGTTGTCATGAATCATGAAGTTTCCACTCCAGTCACTACCTCCTTGCAGCTCGATTGCTTTGAGCCCGGCGCCACCATTTCTGCCTTCCCCAAAATCGCACGGCACAGCAAGATGTGCTTCAGCCCATTTCCATCCACAGCCGACCACAATGCCCTACACAAATGTTCAATACAATCCACCAATTTATCGATAAAGATGAAACGTTTCGATTTTAAAGATGTCGAACCTTGGCATTCTTGGTTCTCTGTATCCGCAACTCCTTGAGAAATTAGTACAAAACAGGACGCTAGTCATATATGAACCTATTCTTACCAGTAAGAACACGTTCATTAATAAAGCTGAAAATTTACACGTGTTCTTATCGGTAAGAACATGTTCATTTGTAGAGCTGAAAAATTTACAACTGTTATTACCGGTAAGAACACGTATAAATTTTCAGCTCAATTAGAGAACGTGTTATTACCAGTAAGAAGACGTTCATATATAACTAGCGTCCTGTTTTGTAATAATTTCTAAAAAAATTAATTTTAGGCCTCGGGGTCTACTCCTTACTAGATTCTCTTTATCAGCTGAATGAAGGTATGACATGTCTTGACAAGCCATGACCTGTCTTGACACGCTAACCCTCCACTAGCATGTTGAGTGTGTTAGTTCATGTGGAGATGATGAAGAAGCTTGTCCCTCGTTTGACGGTTAAGAGGGCTTCAGAACCAAAATTCGTGCTTGTTCTAGGCATGCATATGAGGGTTGGTGCTATATGTTTGGTCCTTCCTAACCCCCATTGCACGTCGAAAGCGAGTTCAAGTGGCAGCAACGAAGTTTCTTGGTCCCCGTTGAACTCTTCGGTTGACCCTGTTGCCTCGTTTACGATGGGCTCGTGCGAGCACAATGTGGGATACTACGACGCGTTCAAGCTTCAAAAGCACAGGAAAGATTTCGACGCGAATGTGACAAGGCTTGTGCTTGCAGGCATATGGGATGAGATAACTGATATGCTGAAAAAATATGATCTTCCTGATGAAATTGAGGCTATATCAGATTGAGTAGAGCTGGGAACTGAATATCGCCACCTTGCCGAGCCTCTTGAAATTGCTAACTTCTAAAGGCACGCAAAGGGAGAAGACACCGGAGTCTACATGGAGAGAGGCAGGCCAAAGCGTTACAAATACACACAAAGATGGCTCGAGCACGAAAAAAACTGCCAGCACCCCAGGCCAATCCTGCTTTTGGGGAGAGTTGGAGGAGTTGCACAATCTTTCTGGCAACGACCAGGACCACCAGGCAGTGAACAAGGAGAAAAAGAGAGCGTTGAACCTTCAGTGACAAGTAGGAAAATGGATTGAGGACAGGGTTCTCGGCAAGGATGTGTTGAAGTCGTCCACGGTCGACCTTCAAGGCATGGTGGAGCGAACTCCCCGTTGACCACAAAACTGAAACTATTTCGGGACTTATGAATGGTTCAGGAAATATGCAAGTGCAGTAGTACCAATTAAGTGATAATATTGGGGTCAGACCTGGGTGTAGTGCCGTAGCCATTGCCATTGACGGTGTGCCAAGTGAGGTATATATGCTATGTCAACCAATGAGTTTACCACGATGACTATTGGTTATATGTGGCAATTGTCATATCACGTTGTACATGAATGTGGTAAAAAATTATGATTTGTCTAGCATTTTCTTTTTAGATATTTTTTTCCAGTACTCACAAGCATTCACGTTTTTCTTGAACTTTGGGTGTCGTCGATAAGATTTAGCATTGACTTTTAATCCACCTAAGCCTGTAACGTAACTTGTAACGGTCAGACTCTCCTTCCTATGAAAGTGGCCCCCATGTTACAGAACGAAGCGTTCCTCTGCCTGGCTCCGGCTCTTCATCCAAGTTTGAATTCACTCTCTACAGTTTTAGTGTTTTGCTTTGGTATAGTTTTGGTTACAACTTACAAGTACAATTTTCATTTGTAATAGTTTTGGTTCCACACATGCTATATGAATGTTCAGCACAAATAACATCTATATATACTTTTCTTAAGGGAACCAGAATGGTCACAAAAATATGACAACAAAATGCAACTGTTGAGGTTGTGTGGCTCGATACAAGCTAGTGAGCATGACAATTCATTGCATAAATACCACAATAATTTACACGCCAAAAAAAGAACGGAAAGAGCACTAAATCCACAATAAAAACAAAAACAATGTCTCCATTCTAGCTCTATTTTTCAGTAAATTTCCAAATCAACAGAGCAAACACAATTTCCTGCAAAGTGAGAAGAAACTTTCGACGAAAGTGGAAGGCAAGGACCTTGCATTGCAGTACTAAGAAAACATTTTCTTCTAGTCTTCTTTTTTGTTTTTTTGTCGTCAACTTCTAGTATTCTTTAAATATTAAGAAAACATTTTTTTGGAATAACCAGGAAACTTACATGTGAAGTACATCAAATTCAAGCCTCGTCGTCAGCCAAGGTCAAGCATTACTTGTTTAATGACAATTAATAAACAGTTGATAGGAATATCCCAACCACGTCAATCATACGTTTGGAAGACCATGTCATCTTTACACCTACTTGCAACCAAGCGGGCCACTAATGAACTCAAATAAAGGTGCGTCCTCCTTTGTTGTGTGTGGGAGCGCAGATGACGTATATCATAAAAAAAAGTTGAAGTTTTATTATAAAACTAATTGTTAATATAAGAATAGTACAGTAATTCATACTTTGAATAGTTGTCTGCTGAAAAGTAAAAACAAGAATTCCAACCAAAACAAAACAGGAAGCCCAAGTCTTGGTCAAGACTTGCGGGCATCCTTATAATTTTCCCCACCATTCCATCCCGCCACTCCTTTAAAGCAAGACCCAAATCAAATCATCAAAAACGAGAAAGAAAAAAAAAACCATAATTTAGAAAAATGGGAAGTGAAAGGCTTGGAGAGAAGTTGAATATAAGCGAGGAGCTTATCAAGAAAAGCTGCTCTCTTGCCTTCAAAGCACACAAATCCCCAGATGATCTGTTTCATGTGGAGAAATCTGCTTCTGGATCATCAGATGCTGTTTTCAGCTTCCCAGGATCTTGGTCTGTGGAGAGTTGGGCTTCTGGAGAAAGTGCTTTTGGGGAAAAAACGATCCAACTTTCACTCTTTCCTTCCCTGAAAAACATAGGTTATTATGATGAAGCTACAGGACCTGGTGGGAACCAAGATTTTGCAATTGCAAGTTTCAACCAAGCCTTTTTGCAGAAGTTTGAACATGTATTGCAGAATTCCCAGCTTAAAAATAAGGTATCAATATGTTATTGTTGTTCATTTGCTATAGTTGCTAATTGTAAATTTTTAATTTTGCCACAGAAACATTATATGTAAAAGAATGTAAAGCACTACGTCGAAAACTTGACAAAATAAAACGCTATATATAAGCGAGTGTATTCACAATAAAAATATATAAGTGCTAAAACTGATACGGACTTTTCATGTATAAGCACTTGATAGCTTACACTTCAAAGAAAAACACTTCAAATCCAATACTTCAGAAAAACTGTCTACTGCATGGAGATTTTTCCTCCCGATGTGCTAATTAAGTGATTTTGTATAAAACGTATAGTTTTCAGAGCAATTTTCCTAGTTTACTAAACTAATAATGCTCTGACATTTTGTAATAAAACCCGACACCTATTGGCTATGCCTTAGTACGCACAAATATAATGTGTTGCGGGATGTTAATTAGTAACTCAGGTGGTCTTTCATTCTTAATTCTCCCAGGTGCAAGAGGCTGTCAATGAAAAGAAGAGAATAGTATTTACCGGCCACTCTACAGGCGGCGCAACTGCCATGCTTGCCACAATCTGGTGCTTGGAAAATTACCCGAAACAAAGCAATGAAACATTTTTCTGTGTGACTTTCGGGTCTCCCCTTATTGGTAACCATATTATTT